GACAATGCTGAGCCAGCTGAGCCACACAGGCCAGGATGCAGATACCTTTTGAATTGTTGTTTTTGTTTCCTTCAGCTAGATATTCAGAAATGGAATTTTTGTATCCATTTAATATTTATCTTTAGGTGATTGCTTCATACCATCAACTGGAAACCAATTTATTTATTTGAAATTCCATCAGATTATATGAGGGTAATATTCTCTAGTGGGGAGGTTAAAAGAGAGAGGGGGGAAAAGACAATTTTTATATTTTATTTTTGAAAAGTGTGGGAATGTAAATATTTTTATATTGACTTATTCTTCCTCGTGGATCCCTACAACAGTCATGGTGATGTTTTCCCTTAGTAGAACATATTTATTCAGATAAGAAATGAAAAAAATGAAGAAAAAAAAAAGAAAGAAATGAAAAACATCTTAAATATCAACCAATCCAGATGTGATTTCCTTCTGGAAGAATTTAGTGCATTAGAAGATACATTCATTCTCTATCATAAATCAGTCTGTGTGTGTGTGTGTGTGTGTGTGTGTGTGTGTGTGTTTCTGTACTTTTAATAACAAAAAAGGACTGGCGCCCTGGTTGGTTTGGCTCAGTAGATAGAGCATCTGCCTGTGGACTGAAGGGTCTCGGGTTCGATTCCAGTCAAGGGCACATGCCCAGGTTGTGGACTTGATTCCCAGTAGGGGGCGTGCAGGAGGCAGCCGATGGATGATTCCCTCTCATCATTGATGTTTCTATCTCTCTCTTCCTATATTTTTTAAAGGAAAGGAGCTGGCTTTACATTATTATTATTATTATTATTATTGGTGTTTTGATATGCAAATTAAAAAATGAACAGGTAGGGGAAGGATCTTTCTGATTTACAGGCATACCTCAGAGATATTGCGGGTTGGGTTCCAGACCACTGCAATAAAGAATATTTTTGCTAGTGGAAGAGCTTGTAAAAAACTGCAATATCAATAAAGCACAATAAAATGAGGTATGACTATATTTTCAGGAGAGTAAAATTTAAACCCCACCCCACTAAATAAACTATAGGAGTAGAGTGCTTTTCTAAAACCCGCATGTGCTGGGGTGGGGTATACATGGAGGGGGACCCGCCAGGTCTGCCCCGTGGACTGTGAGACTTGGGCATGGTCCTTCCACACTGCGGCCTCAGGCCCCTCAGGTGTGTAATGAGAAGGCTCTGTTACCTGTTGGCTGACGTCCTCCCTTCTTCCAGCACTAACAGTTAGGACCTACAACCATCAAACTCTCTGCCTCCACGTGGTCATTTCACATGCCACTGAAAGATTGCTCTCAGGGGCTGATTCCCAAAGGGGCCTCGTAGTTATGCCGTGATGTGTTTTAACAGTGTCCTGAGCAGGCTTCTTGATGCTCCTGTGACGGGTCCTGTCAGTCTTGCACTCTGGTGGTGGTGTGTGTTGCCTCACTCCTCTCTGCTTCCCTCCACCATCTTCACTTTCTCCTGCTGGGCTAGCTGAGAAGGACCGAGAAGCCTGCCTGCTGTGGGCAGGGCCAGACCCAGCTGCATCAGCTTCTTGTAATGATGGGTCCCTCAGAAGCTGTGGCCAGTCCCCCCAGAAATGAACATGCTCTCAAATCTCTGCATCAGTTTTCAAGAGCGTTCACAGGCCTTCTGAGGCCCTCGCAAGCAGCCCAGGGTGAGAGCCCGTCTGGAGAATCTGGGGGCCCAGTTTATCCCTGTGACAGCCTCAGGCCTCCGTCTCCACATCCATAAGATGAATTAGTCTGAAGCCTCTTTTGCTGTAAAAATGTGGCAATTCCAAAATTGCTTCCAGAAAAACCTAAAGGAAGTTGTATATGAGGCTCATGTGTTTCAGGAGCCACTACTCTGCCTTTTAGCCAGCAAGTTCTAAGCGACTATTTAATTAAATTTCATTAAATAAATATCGATTTTTCTCAACCTTGCTGTTTATCCTGACTAGCTTTCAACATGCCCTACAGTATAGATTTGAACTGCAACTTAATATAGAAATATTCTATCACAATGACTACATGGTCCTTAAAAAATTTAATCAATTTATATCCATTGGACATAATGTATTATTGGAAGTATTAATGCAAAATGTGTGTGGCAGCATGATACACATTAACAATGTCCATGCTTCTTTTATTGCTAGCTTTTGCATCCCTTACTAGTCAAAATAGTGCATCGATGGAAGAGTTCTTATTTCATTTATCTTATCACCTAAGCTGTTGTTATTTTTGCTTTGCTTCACACCTGAGTTTAATTTATCTGGCTTTTTGTCTTAATTTCTGTTACTTTTATCCCCTTTCTGATTCTGTTTTTCTGTAGCAGATGTCCTTACTTATTCTCCTGCTCCTAACTGTCAGGAAGGTAAAGCCACTCAAACTGGCCATTTTAACTGCATGAATGTTGGCATCTGTTTCCAGTTTCTTAGACCCGATTAGCATTAGGTTGTGACACTTACGTGAATAAAAATGTAGTAAAATGATTGATCTCACTTACCTCTTGGCAGCCTGCATGGCCCTGATCAGGTATAACGATATTTTGGTCTAAGCATATGTGGTCTGATGAGATAGTAAATCCGAGGTGAGAAATGTGCTTTCTTGTTTTTCATTTTAAAAGAACATAATGGTGATGTACCTCTAGCACCTTTAAAGTCATTTTGAATAGAAATTCAACATAAGACCAAAGTATAGAAGGATCTCTCATACTTTACTTTCCATATTTTTAGATATATTTCCATTTCTGTCCCCAAGATTCTCACTTAATCAATTGATAGACAAGCATGAAAATTTTACTTTTTAGTTAAGTACAATTGTGGAAACTGTATTACAAATGACAATGTCTTTTTTCTTCTGGTTTTGACACTTCTAGAGGGGAGAAGGCTAATAGCTTCATTTCAAAGTGAGAATGATTAAACCACCCATCGTCTAGAAGTGCTTCCACCATAAATTTTCCCCAAACCTGGGTGCTGAGAGCTTCTTGCCACAGAGCATCTTCCCTAACCTTTGCACAGAGCCAGTCATCTATATGAAAACGGGCCTTCCCATTTAGGTGATGTCTGTGTGGTACCAAAACCACTGGCAAATGAATCCATGCAATCAAACAATAAGCACATTGTTGAACAAAATTTAAAAATTATGCAAGCCATCATTTTGGTAACACGCAGCCAGCCTTGTCTCACGACAAGCACAGTGTCTGGGTATCCTTGCCATGACGTAGACGTAGCCCTGAGTGAAGCATTTGGTTCTGGTGTGCTGAAGCCTGCCAAACTCGTTTTCAGATAACATTCTAGAAGATAGACCTGAAAGCAAGTCGTGTAACGACAAGCTGCAGTTTGAGTATAACGAAGAAATTCCCAAGAGGATAAAGAAAGCGGATAACTCCGCCTGCAACAAAGGAAAGGTGGGTGAACGGTTTCTGTTAAATCACACTCGGACCACGATCCTCTTGTCAGGTTCAGGTGGGACTTCCCTCCCTCCCTGCCCCTTCCCTTCACCTTTCCCCTCACTTTCCCTTAGATGCCAAAGCCCACATGGTGATGCCATGGGACACCCACCTGCCATTTGTAGAAGGTTAGTCACTGATTCATCCAGCCAATACCTACTGAAGGTGTACTGTGTGGCAGACACTGAGGTGGTGCAGGAGGTGGTTTAGTGATGGAGCCCAACCTGTAATAAACAATGCTTGCCGATAAGTAAAAGAGCAGTGTTTCTCAGTGTTATCAGAGCATTATGAAGGAAGATTTGGCCAAACAGACAGAACAGGGCACACAGGCCAAGAGGACAGCCGGGTATGTTCAAGGAATTGCTAGGAGTTAATACACAGATAATAATTTAATTTTTAAATAAATAAATAAGTAAATAAATAAATAAATAAATAAATAAATTTGGAAATTAAAAAAAAAAAAAAAAAAAAAAAGGAATTGCTAGGAGTTTTGAAGATGTTGAGATGGCCAAGAAAACGAAGGGGGCCAGATCATGAAGTGTTAACAGAGGAAGGACACTGAGAATAGAAGGATAAATTAGATACCCAGACCTTACCCTCAAGTGCCTCACAGAATATAGGCTCTGAGCAAATCTGTAGACATAGTTGCAGTTGAGGATGTTAGAGAACAAAAGAATAAAATGTCAGAAATGTGAGCCACAGAAGATACCTGCTCGATTCTCTGTTCATTCAACAAATGCGCACTGACTGTCCCTCAGTGGCTCACTGGACTGCACCCAGGTGTCAGACTCACCTCTTGCCCTTTTACTCTAGGAAAGGTGCTAGGACACAGGGGTGAACGTAGAGCAAGGAGAAATGCACCGAGAAAGCAGCAGGTAAAGGGCTTCTGGGTGGCATATACCTTCCATGTCAACTGGTATCATTTTCCCTTGCTTAGGTGTATGACATGGAGTTGGGAGAAGAATTTTATCTTCCTCAGAATAAAAAGGAGAGCAGACAGATTGCACCAGAGCTTTCCGACCTTGTCATCTATTGCCAAGCAGTAAAATTCCCAGGTAAGAGTAGGCAAAATCATCTAAAACATTTAAAGGTGCCAAGAGATAAAAATATGCTATTTATTTAATCAGGTACTGTAAATATTCTCAAAATAGCTAAATTGTGTTGCTGAAATTATTGTTATGATACATCCTAAATATTTGTTATTATTACAATTTCCTGTGATGCTTATGAGGAAAATACCATAAAATATTTATTTTCCAGATCATATTATGTCTAATAGTTATTAATGAGAATGATAATAACATAATAATATTCATAACACCTACTGTGTTTCCCTGAAAATAAGACATCCTCCGAAAATAAGACCTACCGCATGGAAAGATAAGACATCCCCTGAAAATAAGACCTAGCACAACTTTGGGAGAAAAAGATAATATAAGACACTGTCTTATTTTCGGGGAAACAGGGTAATAGCTAAAATTTATTAAGCATTTAAGTACCAGGATTTGTGTATTTTACATACATCATCTTACTGCCTTCATAATAATTCACTGAGATAAGGGGTTTATTTCTCCCCCCCCCCCTTTTTTTTTTTACTAATACAAAAGTTTATTTAACAAAAGTTCAGCATGAAAATGGACAGGACTAGATTTTTATATTGTAGTGAAACGGGTGCTGTGGAGAGAGGACATGTGGAAGCAGTTGATTTCTCTGGTAAACATAGCCATTCTTTGTACTTGCTCCAAGACTTCTAACATAATGATACTATTTCCTTGTATTACCACCATTCCAATATTGTTCTGTTGCCCACCAGCTGCCATCTCCACACATTCATCTGTCATACGATTCCTAAAGGGATCAAATCCCTGCAATATACTCTGGACATGGCTGCCACCATTTAATTTCAATGATAACTTCTTGTCCGTCATTTTTTTTTTTTTTTTTTTTTTAACTCGAGAGGGTAAGCTTTGCTCATGGCACCTAAGCAAGCTCCAAGATACCTCCAAACGGAATTCATGGCCTCTCTGACGCTCCTGCGGTCGGCCCAGCATTTTGCTCCTGACGTCACCCATTTATTCCCCATTTTTAAATAAAGACAAAGTCTAAGGGAGGTAAAGTAATTGGCTCTAGGTTTCAGAGTGAAGCAGTTAAGACTCTTCTTTGAAAGTGGCAGAAGTTGACTTACACAAAAAGTAAACCTATTGGCTCACGGATACAGAAGTGTCAGGTTCGGCTTGATCCAGGGCTCTCTCCCTGTTTCTCACAGTCTCTGCCGTGTTGGCTCTCTTCCCTTTGGGATGTAAAGCAGCTACAGCATGCCCGTACTACATGCTTCCAGATTCAGCTTCCGTGTAAGCAGCTCTTCCAGAACAGTCGGCAGCAGTTTGGTTGTTTTCACTGGGTCCTCTGCCCTCCCTGAACTAGTCACTGTGGCCCAGGGCAGGCAGTGCTCTGACTGTCCCAGGCCTCTGTCTCCTTCCCCACCCCTGAGCTCCACCCAAACCACAGGGACCAAGGATGGCGTTTCAGTGGGAGAAAAGTTTCCTCAATTGGCCATTTCTAGAAATAAAGTGCTGATGAACTGCTTTTTAAAAAAAGGGGAGGTGGGGTCCATTTCAGCTAATAAGTGGCATAACTACGATTCTGAAGCCTGTCAGTCTGCGTTGCACAGCCTCGCCTCTCTTTTCCGGGCGTGTCGTCAGTGAGCTCATCCAGTGTGCATCCCACAGAGGACAGCAGGAGGTGGAGGGCAAGCAGGAGAGTCATAACCTATGAAGTCAGAAAAACCCACCTCTTTCCACTAAGAAAAAGGACCCCCTTGCAGAGGACAGGAAAGCTACTGGAATTGGGAGATTGTCTAAACGTTAGCAAAAGGTATATAAACTTGGCCTGGAGAAGGTTAAAATACCAACCCTCATGTGTGTTTTTTTCAATATGGTCTGAATGCATATCCTGTCTCCCAGATGGTTATCTTAAGCATCAGTTCTCACACTCTGCCCTGAAATTGGGACAAAGGTATTGGGCTATTTAAAAATTAGGTAATAGTGGTCCTTTTACACACCAGAAGGGGGGGAAAATCATAAATAGAACTTTCTCCATTTTAAGCTCTCTCCCATAAACTGTTTGGAAATTTTGGCAGCTGCTGCTGCTTATCTGTTGGCAAAATTCTGTTGAGGAGAATATGAATGAGTAATAGCAAGCAGAGATCTAAAGACATGCAGGGACCTAGCCATTTAGGTGTAGTTTCACAGACCAGGCCTCCTTTCACATAAGTACATGTGTACAGCTGGTGAAAGTGTTCTTATGATGAGGAAAAATCTTTTTCCTGTCGAAAGAGCCTCGTGGCCTGCGTGTCCTTCCTCACAGGAACAAGTGTGAAGGTCACTTTGTTCAAGAATCACACTCACTGCCTCTCCTGTTCTTTATAAATTCAGCTGACACTACACCCAAACCATCCCACAGGCTTGGTCTTTTCTTCTCAAGCACCAAGTAAATAAAGAGCAAAAATGCCCAAATTTTGGAAGAGTCAAAGGTCATTGGGTCCAGCCTCTGACTAGAGGTACAGGCTACGTGTGGCATTGTTCAGCTTATTTTTAAAACCAGAGGCCCGGTGGGGTTCCTCGGCCTGGCCTGCACCCTCTCACAATCTGGGACCCCTCGGGAGATGTCAGAGGCCCAGTGCACGATTTGGCCTGATCCCCGAAGGTCGATCTTTGGTTAATCTCTTCCCCCCTTACCCCTCCCTGATTCCATTTGAGATTCATCATGTTTCCATGCCTGTGCATTGAGCATCTGCCCCCTGGTGGTCAGTGTGTGTCATAGCTACCAGTCGAATGGTCGCTTAGGCTTTTATATATATGAATTGCCAATGTTCTTTTAAAGAGTTTAAATGGCACACAGTCTTTATAAGATATACTGTAGTTTAACTTTTTTTAGTAAAGTTTCAGACATTTTTCTTTTCTCAATTTTACTTCCTTTCTCAAAATCACTAAATTGTGTTGCTAGAGTCATTGTTACAATACCTTCTACATATTTATCATGGTTATAATTTGTTCTGATGCTTGGGGGGAAAATACCATAAAATGTCCATTTTGCTACACTATGCATTTTAATTTTGCTACATTACCCATTTCAATGCATCTCACCCTTCACCATCCCAAGTCCCTTCCATGGAGCCATATGCAAAAAATCTTCAGAGCAGTGAGGCAGCATGAAGACCATGTGACATGACCTTCCCCAGAAGTACAGTAACCTCCCCAAGATCAGGAGCCTGCTTCAGTGGCAGGATTCCACTCCTCAGTGACCTTGACTAGGGCAGTTAGTTAACCTCTCTGCACTTCAAAGGCCCTTCCTATAAAAGAGACAGAACAGTTCTCACTTGTAGGGTTGTCATAAACATTAACAATAAAATACCTAATGTGACTAGCACACCATTTACAGGTAGCTGGCTTACTGGAACTTATTGATAAACTAGAGGCCCAAAATACAAAATTCATGCATGGGGGTGGCAGTCGGACATCCCTCTCACAATCTGGGACACCTCGTTCCTAACCACCCACCTGCTCACTCCTTACTGCCTGCATGCTCACTCCTTTCCACTTGGCTCGCTGCTCCTTAGTGCTCCCACCACCACCATCACTGCGCTCACCAGCTGTGAGCCCAGCTTCTGGCTGAGTGGTGTTCCCCCTGTGGGAGCACACTGACCACCAGGGGGCAACTCCTGCATTAAGCGTCTGCTCCCTGGTGGTCAGTGCATGTCATAGCAACCAGTCCTGGTCATTCCAGTCATTCTGCCTTAAAGGCTGCTGGGCTTTTACATAAATAGATGGGCCAACAGGGCAAATTCCTCCCCTCTCTTGATCACCAGCTCGTATTTCTGCTTCCTCGCCCCACCCCAAGAGAACAGCCAGGTTGTTTACAGAAGGTCCCACATATCCCTGGGGAATGTCGACGTGGGCCAGGATGTGTACAAAACTCCCAAAATGAACATGGGGCCTCACTCTGACCCCTCACTGGTTTTACTTGGGAGAAAAATCTACTGTTACATCATTGTGTAGAGGGCAAAGTTCACAAGAAATTTTAAGATAAAGCATGAGAACTCACTAGTGCAAGTTTGCACATCTGTGTGGTTACAGATATTTCAGAGAGAAAAAATTTAGAAGCCCCACAGCTGCTACAAACGCAGCATTCTCTCTGAACAAGTCACTCTACTGAGTATGTAGATATACATGATCTCATTTCATCCTAACCACAGCCCTTGCACAGGTGAGCAAGGAGTGCAGAGGGTTAGGTAACTTGTGGGAGGTCGCCCCACTAGGAACTGGATTTAAACCCCAAAGTCTATGCTTTTATTAAACACTTCTTTAGCCTGTCTTCTCTGGTGATGTTTTGGGAAGGTATATTTTCATCTCAAAGAGGGCCTCCTGAACGCTGTTCCAGCTGAAGGAATTACTATCTCAGGGTACAAGTGTAGACAGTGGAAACAGTTTGGAGGCCACTGGCGATCCTGGTGCCTTGTACTCACTCTTCCTGCACTGGACCCAGGTCTGCATGGTGTGCATTCATTTCCTCATTTAGCAGAGATCTGTGCGCGCCAGGCACTGTGCCAGGCAGGAAGGAGGGAGTAGTTGGATCAGGAGTGAGAACGAGAAGCCGTGAGATATCACTGTCATTTAACATATTTCCCATTTAATCCTCAGACTAAGCCTGTGAGTTCCGATCATTATACCCATTTTGTAGATAAGGAAACTGAGGAACGGAAAAGGTGGATGTTAAGTCAGGGCTCCTAATGGCAGGAATTCAACCTAGACAATATGATGCTAAAACTTGGGCTCCGAGCCATTCTTTCATCTCTCATAATTGAGTAATTCGGTCCTGATGATTCAGTGTTGACTGGAGCATTTTCTTTTTATGCAGTTTTTCAAAATCTTTCTGGTGCACCAACAAGTGGGTGTGGGTGCGATTTTGCAGCCATTCTGTGATAATCCTGCAGTTCTTGTCACATTTGCCCACAGAGAGAAAACCTTCGCTCTCACAGCCCACAAGGCTGCTGTGAACAGTGCTGAGAATGCAAGCGGGTCCTCTGAGCAGGGTTGCAGGGAGTAGTAAGACTTCAAAGTAAACACGGACAGGGATGGAAAATGTCGAGTTCCCTCGCTTGTAGTTTTTGGCTTATTTATTTTCATTTTATGGGAACAGGCCTGTCAACTCTAAATGCATCTGGCTCTAACAGAGGAAAAGAAAGGAAAAGCAGAAAGTCCATTTTTGGCAACAATCCGGGCAGAATGAGCCCTGGGGAGACGGCATCACTTAGCAAAACATCTGGAAAAAGTAAAGTCACCTTCTTTCAATACCTTCGCTCGATTCTGCATGCTGCCTAAGTCCAACGTTTTACTGTCAAAGCACTTCCCTTGAACGTTTTCTATCTTATTTTTTTTTTATTTCCATGAGTGTTTATGTTATCTTAAGTGTAGTAGAAATATTTTTCAAGTTTACATGTTTAACTTCCTAAAACATAGCACTTTGTTAAAGATGTTCTAATAGTGTTTGCCTCAATAGGGAAAAATTGGAATCACCTTGGAACATTCTAGTGGTTCTTGGAACTGATCTCGTCACCATTATAACTCCAGAAGATATATCCATTTTTATATCCATTTTATTACTAATTACTTTTTATTATAAAAGTAATAAATTCTCATAGTTATTAAAAAAAACTCAAACAATACAGGGTATTATTAAAATTCCTTTCTATTCTGAATGGCTCGGTTCTAGTCCCCTGAGGTAACCACTGTTAGGTTTATTGTGTTTTGTTCAAGAAGAATAAGGTTCTTTTTAAGGTGATCCAAATGGGATATAACCAAACATATTTGTATAACTTTTTATATTGCTGTAACTTTCCAAATAGCTTTCTGAGCATATATCTACCTTATTCCCCGTATGCCTCTGTGGCTTTCCATTGTGTATATACACTGTCATTTAACCACTTCCTCACTGGTGGAACATTTGGATTGCTTCCTGGGTTTTTTTGTTGCTTTTATTTTTTCCTATAACAAACGCTAAAGTGATTACCCTTGTACATATATTGCCATGTATTGTTCAAACATATCCACAGGACAGATGAGACAAAGGACTTCCAGGCTTTTAATTTAAATTGGTGCTTCTGCACTCATTTTAAAACTCAGTAGCTATCATTTC